ATAACAGTTACTAATCCCAAGAAGATTTGCAGAAACTTGAAGATTCAGACGATTTACAACAAAAGAAAAGAAAAATTATCGTCCTGTTTACACTAAACGACACATCCTTCCAGACTTTAACACCCTTCCATATGGATACTTATTTTTGCATCACATGGACCAAAAAAAGGGCATGTGCAGGGTCTTGGGGTAGTTCTCAAGTGTTCTCAAACATGAATTATATAAGGTAAAGTAGTAAATCACAGTTTGTAAGTAAAGTTTTAACGTATCATCATGAAGTAACTTATCCTATTCCTGAAAACATTGTATGGTTTTACGGTGAATTTCAACCGTTGTATACAAAAATAATGCAAAATGTTCTTAGTATTCAATTTGTCGAAGGCTTACCTGAAAATTTTCATGATTATTTATATTTTGATAAATCAAATGTTTTTATCATTTATGATCTTATGAGTGAAAGTGGAGAAAATAAACGAGTGTCTCAACTTTTTACACGTGGAAGTCATCATTTAAATTTATCAGCATTTTATATTGTACAGAATCTATTTCATCAGTGTAGAGAATATTAGTTAATTAGCATAAATTTAGTTTAAATTCTCAATATATTATTCTGTATCTAGATGAGATCATTTTTAATAAAGTATTATTGTATTATTCATTCATTTGTGTCTTGACTGCCGTTATGGACTGTTGTCAACCTTTTAGGATTAGTGATATCTTGAATCGTTTAAGAATTAACATCGTATGTTATAAAGGTAAAATTATTACAACTGTTAGAAACAGATATAATGGTAAAAAAATAAATAAAAATAGATGGCATAAAAAATAATGTCTAACATCACTCTGCAATCTATATATTATAACCCAACACATCCTGCTAGTTTTGGTGGCGTACAGCCTTTATATAGATCTCTAAAAGTACTAGATAAATCCTTAAGTTTAAAACAGGTTAAAAACTGGTTAATTAGACAAGATACGTACACTTTAAACAAACCAGTGAAATATAAATTTTCGAGAAACAGAGTTATTGTTTCAGGGATTAATGAACAACAGGCTAATTTGGTAGATCTCTCTAACATTAGTTAATATAACAATCAGTTTGATTATTTAATTACGTGTATCGATATGTTTTCTAAATATGCATGAGGGGTTCCACTCAAGGATAAGAAAGGTAAAACACTTGTAAAATCTTTCAAACAAATTTTAAATCAGGGTCGAAAACCTCGTAAACTTCAAACCGATGCTGAGACAAAGTTTACTGATCATCTCTTTCAACTATATCTCAAAGAACAAGACATTCACTTCTTTACTACACATAACAAAACAAAATCATCTATAGTAGAAAGATTTAATCGCACTCTCAAAACTAAAATGTGGCGCTACTTTACTCATCATATGTAAATATATCACTGTATTAACACATCTGATCTAATCAATCGTATCATCGCAGTATTAAAATGAGGCCAATAGATGTTTATTACTCTAATCAGTCTGTTGTATGGAAAACACTTTACAAAACACCCACAAAAGTAAAATTTCAGTTCCGATTTGGTGATCAAGTATGTATTAGTAAAGTGGAGTGTCAATTTAAGAAATATTATATGCCTGGACAGACAGATGAGATATTCACTATTTACCATAGAATAGAGAGAAATCCACCAGATTATAAACTGCAAGACTATCTTGTAGAAAAATTAAATGGAACATTTCATGAATCGGAATTACAAAGAGTTATAAAATCGCTTGATGACGTCTATGCTGTGGAAGAAATATTACGTGAAAGAGGGAGGGGCAAAAAGATATATTTAATAGTTGGATCCCTCAAGCAGATCTGAATCACCTGCCGTCATAAAATGTTATGTATAACTCTATTCTCATTATTCAACATGGATCAGTTGTACGTGACGTTACCTAGCAACAGTTCTATGAATTATTTTGCTAATAATTTTCTAACAAACTATATCACACATCTTCCTAGATCTATCAATCTTGAATGACCGTAGGGAGTTGCTTTAGCCGAACTACAGTATACACATAGTTGGCATAATGTACCTCATGGTACAGGTTAGATCAGTTTATTACCTGCCACTGATGGTCACAATAAAATTATTTATATTAGACCCGGTCATTAAAAAGAGCCTAAATATTTAATTAGAATATTAAGCAAATTAGACGAGTTAGCCTGTGAATCCGACACATATCCTGTATTTGATCATGACTCATTCACCAGAAAAGTAAGAGTCAATATGAAGGAAGGATACTTTATCTCATTTGATCCTGAACTATCTATAATACTTGGATTTGAAAATAATCATATAATATCTGAAACCACTATTGCTCCACATACTGTTAATATGCATGGAGGATTTTATTATCTCTATACTTACTCAGATATTGTGGAACCTAGTATTATTAGTGATGCACATGTGCCAATGTTACGAATCGTTCAAATTAAAGGTCAGGATGGAGACATGATTACTGAAATGCTTATAAAATCTCATTACAGACCTGTATCTAAAAAGATATTTCAGAATATTGAGATAGATATACATGATTACATGGGTCGGTTTATACCATTTGAACATGGAAGAGTGATAAGTATGCTTCACTTCTGTCATTATCATGAGAATTCCTTACAATAACGACCAGTGGGTTTATGACACATATTACGATTACCAGGTAGGAAATGGATTACCATATTTTGCAGGAAGTCAATGGTAGCGTGATCACAGATTGGGAGATGTTTTGAATAACTTGTTTCGTTCGGCAATACCCTTTCTGGAAAAGGTTGCATTAGCTTTAGGAAAACAGACAGTTAATTCAGGTATAAATTTAGCATCAGATGTCATGCAAGGAAAACCATTTATCAATGATGGAAAAGGAAGTGCAATACAAGAAGCTCAGAATCTGGCTAGAGAAGTTCTACATAATAAAAAGAAGAAACAGAAAGGTCCATCATTCAGAATATTTAAAGCTAAGAGACGAAGAACATCGACTCCAGACTTTTTTTTGACAAGTAACTATGACTCTCCTACCACATGAAACGTCGTGTCAGTGTACAAAGTCTGAGCTAGACTTCTTTTCTCTCCCTCCCATACAAACAGTAATTGAGGAAGGTCAGTGGACTGAATATTATCCTCTATCCTCAGTGACCAACAGAGGACCTATAGAATTTTGTATATCGGGATTACGAGATGAATATTTGGATTCTGTCCAATCATACCTTCATGTAAAAGCAAAGATTGTCAAGCTTGATGGTACCAATAAAAGAAAGGATGAAGATACCTCTGCACCTGTCAATTTGCTACTTCATTCTCTGTTTTCACAAGTAGATGTATACCTTATTGATAAACTCATTTCTTCCTCTCACAACCTTTATGCATATAAGGCCTACATAGAAACTTTACTAATTTATAATGGTGAAGCTAAGAGAAGTCATTTGACATCATCCATATGGAAAAAAGACACAGCAAGTAAGTTCGATGATCTAGATTTTAATGATGGTAAGAACAATGGAATTAACAACTGACACATAGATACACGTGGTAGTCAATTAGTTGACACGATTTGCCATTTACATTCATATATCTTTTAACAAAACACATTATTGCCTAATGGTGTAAGTTTAAAACTCCGGCTCATAAGAAGTAAAGATTCATTTTGTATCATGTCAGTTGATGAATCGGGATTCAAAATTGTATTACAAAACGTTTCCATCTATAATAGGAAAGTCAATATCAGTCCATCAGTCATCCTGTCACATGTTAAAGAATTTCAGAAAGGAACAGCTAAATATCCTTTTAAATGTATAACGTGTAAATCATTTTCAATTCCACAGAGAAACTTACAAGCATCCATTGATAATGCTATTTTATGTCAACTACCTACACGTCTTGTTATAGGCTTTGTTGATAATGATGCAGTTAATGGATCTTCGAAGAAAATCCATACTATTTCAAACATTACAATATCAATTTCCTGGCAATCAATGTGGATGGAAAAAAGGTCCCCACTCAACCTTTACAACCAGTGTTTGAAGCTGAGCTGTATACATGAAGCTATGAAATGTTATTTAGTGGAACTGGAAAACAATTTTAAGATCAAGAAATTGATATAGAATATGACAAATACACAGGAGGATGTACTCTCTTTGCCTTTGATCTTACACCTGATCTATTTGTTGGAGATTCTCTCTTTAACTTGGTGAAACAGGAAAATTTACGAATTGAAATACATTTTGGTAGTGCTTTACCTAACACTATAAATGTTCTAGCATATGCAGAATTTCAGTCAGTTTTAGAAATCGATCAGTCTAGAAATATCATAACAGATATCTAAGTAGATATGAATATATTGGAAATTTATTCAATACTCTCGCAGGATTCCTGTACGAGAAAAAAAAGTTTGTATATGTATTTATTTGCCAGTGACCAACTACCAGACAAGGCATAAAAACAATTATATGTTATCAACCTGGATTCTAGTCATAAACCTGATAGCCACTGGGTCTGTAAATATTTTGTTGAAAATTAAAAAGGAGGATATTTTGATTCATTAGAACTACCTCCACATAATCTCAGCATTAGAAAATTCACCAAAAAGAATTGTCAAACATGGACTTCCAACCAAAAGTACTGCAAGGACCATATTCATCTTTGTGTGGACATTATTGTATATATTATGCTTATTATTATTGTCAAAACACAAATTTGTATCTCACAAAGATAGTAATGATATGTTTGTTCATGATTTTGTTGTAAAAAAATTCTCATGTAAATACGTCTTTAATAGTTGTGTATTTTTATGTATTTCAAATTGCAAAATGTTTATTGTGAAAATAAATTACTAAAAAATTATTGTGTCCAGATTTTTTAGCATAATAATATCACTGAAATCTTTAATCATTTGAATAAGTTTTAATTATAGTACAAGTAACCTTTTTTAGGGTCTTTAATCAAATACATGTCGAGACATGTTTGAACAACATGGCCACCTATCACACACACACAGATTCGTCTCAGTTCTAGGATTAAAATTAAAACAATAGTACAAATAATATTTCATTGTGTAAAATGCTATATAAACTACAGATAATATATCAGATATGACTCAAATATGCCAGTCGATTATATAAACTTAACTGATAAGTGACTGGTAATTATAATCAAATATTGCCTAAATATGAATGTGTAATTCAAGGACAAGAAATGTATTAGGATTTATTCGGCGTTCTGACACAAAAAGGTCACCACTACACTACGGGTCCTTAAGACTGTACTGTGCTATGCTGAATAGTTCCTTGTTCTTTGTTTGTGACTAACTTTTTAATTAACTTAATCTTGTCGGTTAATGAGGTTGTTGTTTTTGGTGAGGATTTGTTTAGTCTCTTTCATTTGGTGACAACAAACTAATCATGCTTCTTTCCAACGGATAGGCTTGGAATGGCCTGGTGATTAGAATGCTTGATTTGCAATCTGCATTTTGTGGGTTCGAATCCCCGTCACGCCATATATGCTTGCCCTTTCAGCCGAGGAGGCATTATTATGTGATGGTCAATCCAACTATTTGTTGGTAAAAGAGTATCCCAAAAGTTGGCAGTGGGTGGACTTGACTAGCTGCCTTCTCTCTGGTCTATCTCTGCTAAATTAGAGACGGTTAGTGCAGATAGCCGTCGCGTAGCTTTGCGTGAAATTTCAAACAAACCAATCCAACAGACAAATTCGCAATGCTGTCTTTACTGTGTAATGACTGAAGTAGTAATGAATTTCACCCTTCTATAGTTAATTTAAGATATACTTTTACTCGTATATATTCAAGTAAATCTTTCTAAACTTTCGCATTCTGTATGTAGTGAGACATTCTTGTTAATTTAATGTTGTAAGGGCGTAAACATGTACTAATCATTTTACTTGGACGTACACTGTCTTCTAGAAACACATCGATTTGACTCTGTGTCTGACCTCCCTTGGGAGGGGCAAGCCTATCTCAAGAAGTGACACTGATTCATGTACAAATTGATATGAGTTAGGTTTTTTTCTCTGTTGTTATATGCAGTACTGGATTATGATATACCAAAGTATTAACGTTTTGTCTGAATTTTGGTGGTAAATCATGATACCTTATCTTGGACCCGTGTGGATAAATATAGTAAATTATCTCATTTCAGCAGCTAGTAAAAGTCAAAAGAAAACTGTAATCTGGCCAATAAGTGTGAAGACTGATGTATGATTTGGGAATAAAACGTTTGTTTTATTTGTTCATTTGTTTCTGTTTATTTTTGGATGTTTATTTTCACCAATGTACAAACCTTCTCCAAAGGGATCTCAACGTGACCACGATCAATAAACTCCTGGCAGCAACTTTCAGCAGCATTTTTTGTCTTACTGCAACCTGAAAGAGAATAACTGACGTTATCAGATACTTACGAGGACCTAGATCACTGTTCAGTCTTTTACAGTCTAGCACAAAGTTCAACATAGGTCTCCTCAACTATTTCATGGGTATGCTTACTACATAGAAGTATCTTTCATTAAATAACTCACACAAAAATACAAAAGATTATAAATAAAAACAAGTTATGAGACATAAGTGAATTAATTTTCATACAAAAGAAATCCTGGTTACAGACACCAGAAAAGATCAATTAAACCAACAACATGGTATTCCAGAACTCAGACTATAGAATACACATTTGCTTTAACACTGCAGTTGTGGTGGTTAGGTCCACTGTTAAGTGTCGAATAAATCCAAAGGAATCCAAAAAACTCAAATTCTGGAAATATTATGCAGAGCATAAAACAAACATGAACAGCCAATGCACTCTAAATGGACCTTTAATAGTTCCAAGAGACAGAATTCGAATGACAGATGTTCTCTGATAGCCTAGATCCCTCTGTCTATGGTGGCATGGTCGCTGTTTCCTATGAGGGTGACGATTAGGAGGAGAAAATTTGCAAAAGTTAGAAGATGGTTTGAAACTCAGACAGTGCCAAGAGGTAATATCATGTTGCTCAACCAAACTTGAGTGAGAACCTAGCATTCTGCAGATCATCATGGCTGTGGCCAATAGAGAAGCGGATTCGGGGCCTAAGAGCAATATATGTTTACCATGCAATTCTTGGCGTTATGAGATCAGCTCCTGATGCGGTGCTTACTTTCAAGATGTATTGAGTAAAGTTTCAAAGTAACATATATACAAAAATTTTGTGTTAGCTACTCGATTCTAATAGCTAGAGCAGTAAGGGATGATACTTAGAGAACATAGAACATTAACACTTGGTGTGCCAGTAATGATAACTTGGGTACTTAGTATATCATTAACACCAGAGAATATTTGGATAGATAGTTTTCTTCGTACATATACAGAGTTTAGTACGTTATATTAAATCGGTTTTGAATATCCAGATTAGAAATTCAAACTACAAGCAATTTAAAGTCACGATGGAAGGGCATATATCAGAAATACATTTTGCCATTTTTTGGTGTGTCGTAGGTGGTGGATACCACCAAAAATTCATCGTTTTTCAGTGGATTACTCAACAGCTCTTTCTGACACAATATATCCAGACAATTAAAGTATAAAGATGTGTTCAGATAAGAAATATAGAATTTTAAAGATGAGGATACCCCTTGCACTTAATGACATTAGAAAAGAAAAGAATACGGATAACTTGGGCCACCAAGACTATCCAGAAAGAGACCTGTTACAACTCATGCCTCAGCTATAGTAAATAAAGTGCAGCATATTGTAACAGATGAGATTCCACAAACATAAAGACAGACCTCCAGAAAAAGCCTTCTATGTGTCCCCTTCAATAATAAACGACATAATTACGAAGGATCTCCACCTGAAAATGAGACAAATAGGGTATGGGTTCATCAAATAAAGTTTCCAGTCATACTTCCCATTCCATTGTCTTATACCTCAAGCAGCATGAGAATGAAACAAGTTTTCATGCTGTTCTATATGAAGAAATACCTATGGATTTTTGTATGATTTAAATTTTGAAGTGAGAACTTGGAAACTGTCATTCTCATACACTAGAAAGCTTACAGGGAGGTATGGTGTGCTTCGCACATGTCATTTTTTTGCAACAGATCTTTTTGCAATGAAAACTATGCTGCAGGTCTATTATAAAGATGTACAACAATCAGATGGAGTCTGACTGGACATAATAACGACATAATGAGGCTTTAAAATTGTTTTAATTTAACGTAATAAACCCTAAGTATAGGTGTCATATTGCAGAAAACTTACATTTCTAAAAATGACATGTGGTTCTACCATAGAGTAAACGAAATAATAAGGCTGCATGTGGGAAACTGGCCATACACATGCTTGTTTGTAGTTAAGCGCAAAGCTACACAATTGGCTCTGCCCACTACCTGTATCGAAACCCGGTTTCTAGCTTTGTAGGTTCGCAGACATACCGCTGTGTCACTTGAGGGGAGGGCATACATATTCAGTGAAGAAGTAGAAATAATACCATAGAAAGAGTATTCATATCTTCAAAGATTGCATCATTCACT